GGAATTGTAGTGAAGACCCTGATTTATTCATTTTCCAGTTGCTTCTTCCTAGATAAGGAACAGACCCCCACCTTCACCTGCTGTGACACATGTGAGCAAACCTTGGCCACCAAGAGCTCAGTGTGCTGTGACTCCAGACGTGTCACCCTCTGACTTTGGGCTCATCCTAAGTCAAGGACTTGCATGAGCTGAGCTCCAAGAATGCCGTGACATGAGCAGGGTTTGATAGCTAGTGTCGTGTGGCACCAGACCCCCTGGGTGGAAGCCTCTTCTGCCCTTGGTCAACTCAGCTGGTTCCTCTGTCTGCAAGAAAGAAAGACTGAAGGGAAGCAGAGATAGACATAATCGTTCTTGAAGTCATGTCATCTGAGATTTTAAATGAAGTCCTTTGAAGCTCACTTGAACTTGGCCTCTCTGTCTTTGAGAAGACGTAGGGGGGAAACAATGAGTGTGGGTGCCCTGGGAGTGGGTGGCTTCCACGTGGCTGCTGAGAGGAGGAGAGGTTTTCCTGGGTCCCCCAGAGGGGAAGATCAACAGGCCTGGGGTGACGTGAATATGATGTTATGGCTTTGGGACCCTGAGCCTCTGTCAGCCTCCCAGAGTGAGCCTTGTGGGCAGATTCAGGAAGGTCAAGTAGAAGGCAGGCCCACAGCAGCCTTAGATGGGGCCTTGAACTTAAGTAACTGTATAGGCATGCCTCATTATTCACTTTGCTACACTTCACAGGCCACACATTTTTACACATTGAAAGTCTGGGTCAACCCTACCTGGAGCAAGTCTATGGGCTCCATAGCTCTATGTCAAGTTCAGTCATTCTCATAGCATTTTGAACTCTTTCATCAGCCACGTATCCAGTGGACTGCAATGTGTTGACTCACTGCCTTTGTGGACATGGAACACTTCACTCTTTGGAGGCTGGTGGCAGAGAGTTTCAAGGAGAAAGCCCATGCAGTGCGTAGGGCCTTGTTGCCTTCTTCCCGCAAGCTTGTCCCCTCATGCTGGTTCTGTCCTCAGACAGATCTTGTCTTCATCTTTCCAACTCCTTCCCACCCCCATATCCCAACAGCCCCATAGCAGACTCACACTGGTATTTCATATACTCTGTCTTTGCAGCAAGCCTGCAAAATAAGCTAGAATAACTGATATCATTTCCTAGCTGAGAAAATGGCAATTCTAGAGAGAAAATTTGTACAAAGCCTCACAGCTAATAAGTGGAAGAGCTATACTCTGAACTTGGGTTGAACTCCAAAGTCTGTGTCCTTCCTGTGACCTTGGGCTCTAGTGGTGCAAATACAGACAGTGGCCCTGTGCTCCAGTATTATGCTGAGTGAAATATCTCAGTCACAAAAGAACAAATACTGCAGAGTGCCACTGTTGTAAAACAGGACTGACATCGGAGTTGTGGGGGAGACTGAGAAAGATGGGATAAATTATGTATACTGCATTGAAACAGATGAGAGAGAGAATTGTTTAAAGGGGATATATGGTTAGGTATTATTATCATGAAAGGAGTCCAGAATGAAGGCTGCATAGTAGAGGGGACTTGGGTTGGGGGAGGGGGGAATTGTATAACAATGAAAGAGTTTTTCTTTTACTTTTCAAAGAGAAGAATGAACTGGGAGGGAGGAGTGGGCAGGGAGAAATGTGCAACAATGAATGAATGAAATCCAAAATCTCTGTAAATTTTCCAATAATAATAATAATAATAATTTTTTTAAAAGAGCATTAGACTTTATCTGATGGGTGCTGGGGAACTGGTGAAACCTTCCAGACTAGCATCAGACTCCCAGAAGGAGCCCTCTGAGGCTGTGAAGGGAATGGGGGATTCGGGGAGGGAGGATATGGTGCAGTTAAGGTGTAGCAGCAAGAATTCCAAATCTTTTTGGTGGCACGTGTGATCCCGCCAGTGTCACCACCACCCTCCCCCCGCCCCTTCTTCCCAGGGCCCGGTGCACTTTTATTTCTTTATTATTTTTTTTTTTTACTTTTTTGTTGTCAGGTTTACATTAGGTGCTGTGGACCCTGTTCTGACTCATAGCAAGTCCATGTACAAGAGAAGGAAAATAAGAGCTTTAATTAGATCTTGACTTGGATAAGCTCAGTGATCCAAACTGTGCTGAAAGATGTTTTTGCCTTCTCCTCATGGTCCTTGAGGGTATTATTTATGGAAAGGCCAGAGCGCTTGCCTCTCACTTGGGGAAAGTGTGACCTAGAAGCCTGTTTTAAAAGTGGAAAGCTTGCAGAGCAAAGAGTAAGATCGCGGCGTTATGGCAAGACCTTGAATGATAGGGAGTTAGAGACCAGCTCAGCCTTCAAGGCGGACCCCCTGCTGTGGCGGTGGGGTGAGATGACCCATGTTAACAGAGATGGAGCTTCTGGTGCGGTCCCCAACATAGGCTCAAATGGGGCCCCAGAAGCTCCTTCAAGGGTTTCACTTGGCATCAAGTCCTGTTAGATGAGGAATTGATGCTTCGTGGTGCTGTGAGATAAAGAATACGCACCTCGTGGGGCTGTTACATAAGGAGTAGCTGCCTTTTTTTGTGAACATTTCTGAAAAGAAGAGTCAGAGGCTTCCGTCAGCAGATAAAAGGGGCTTGGTGAAAGCATTAATGAGCGTGTGTGTAAAGACACCACTTCCCGAAGTCAGTCCCAAACTCTTTTAAATACTGCTTAAGTGAAAGTTGACAAAGCATATTGCTTTTTTAATCACTCAGTTTTTACATTTTGTTCCATGATAGCAACTACAGTACAAATAATGTCTGATTATATGTTCATTCCATATAATATTTCCTGTCAACTGTCTTTTTTTTATGTTTCCCATGATTTATTCATGGAAAAGACCTTTTTCTAAAAACACAAATGGTAACTTTACACACGAACCTCATTTGATGGATTGCATTAAGAATCAGATTGACTATATCTGTGGAAGGAATTGTTGGAGATGCACAATATTAACAGTCAAAACTAGGCCAGAGGCAGACTGTGGGTCAAACCATCAACTATTCATGTGCAAGTTCAAATTGAGGCAAAAAAAAATTTAAATGGGCCCACGAGAACCAAAATACAATCTTGAATCTATTCCGTCTGAATTTCAAAATCATCTTAATAGGTTTGAAGCTTTAAAAACCAATGATCGAAGACCAGATGAGTTGTGGAGTGACATCAAAGGTATCATCCATGAAGTAAGCAAAAGCTCATTACAAAACAGAAGAGAAAGGGAAAAACCAACATAGATGTCAGAAGAGACTCTGAAAATTGCACGAGAGTGTCGAAAAACCAAAACACAAAGAAAACATGCTGAAGTGAAAGAGCTGAATAGAAGATTTCAAAGGGCAGCTTGTGAAGACAAAGCAAAGTATTATAATGGAATGTGCAGAGAGCTGGGATCAGAGAATAAAAAGGAAAGACCTCACTCTGCATTTCTCAAGCTGACAGAATTGAAAAACAAATTTGAGCCTCAAGTCACAATATTGAAAGATGCTATGGAAAATGTATTGAATGACCCAGAAAGCATCAAAAGAAGATGGAGGGAATATGCAGTCACTATACCAAAAAGAACTGGCTGACACGGAAAAATTTCAGGAAGTACCATATAAGCAGGAGCCAGTGGTAATGAAGGGGGAAGTGAAAACTGCACTGAAGGCATTGGCAAAAAAATCAGGCCCCAGGTCAACTGTCTTACTAAGCATTTTTGTTGGTATGTGTCATTGAGTCTGAACCAACTCAGAGTCAGTCAGTCTCACAGGAGGAGATGCCTCCTCTCTCTCCCTCAGAGCAGCTGGTGGACTCAAACCTCATGCCTTTGAGTTGGCAGTGCCGCTCCCTACGAAGCCACCAGAGACCCCTAATTGTTTTTATTATCTATTAATTATTTTTCAACAGCCACTGTATGTCAACCACCATCTCCACCCTCAGGAAGCTCAAAGTCTAAACTGGATAATGAAACGCAGTGTTTGTCTCCTTGGTTGAACCAATCATTCATTGTTGTATGATTTCCTCCCTCTTCCCCACCCCTCCCCCAGGCCACTTTGCAATGCAACTCTTACTCTGGACTATCGCTGTACAGATATTACCTAATCATATAATCCTTTTAAACAGTTCTTTCCTTCATCTATTCCAGTGTAGTATTCATTATCTATACCTTCCTTTCCTAGTTTCCTCCCAACTCCCCATGTCAGTTCTGTTTTATAACATTAGTGTTATGCAGTATTTTTCCTTCTGTGACTGAGACATTTCACTCAGCATAATGTACTCAAAGGTCACCCATGTTTTAGAATATTTGATTAGTTCCTTGTTTTTCAGTGCTGCATAGTATTTCATTGTGTGAATATACCATAGTGTCTCTGTCCATTCTCTTGTTGATAGACACTCGGGTTGCGTCCATCTCTTTGCTATTGTGAACAATGCAGCAATAAACATGAATATGTATACATTGGCTTGGGTGGCAGGTCAGGTTTTGGGGGGGTATATTCCCAGTAGTGGAATTGCTGGGTCAAGTGGTATTTCTACTTACAACTTTTTGAGAAAGTGCCATACTGCCTTCCATAGTGGTTACACCATTTCACACTCCCACCAGCAGTGAATAATGGTTTAAGTTTCTCCACAACCTTGCCAGCATTTGTCGTTTGCTGCCCTTTTGAACTTTGCTATTGTTGCTGGGGTGAAATGATATCTCAGAGTTGTTTTTCTTTGCCTCTGAGGCCAGGGTTCAGCCTGCCTGGACTCCCCTGTGCCCACTGAGTGGAGCTAGACATCGCAGAGCCTTGGCCATCCTGCCCCACCTTCCCTGAGCAACCCCACAAGCGGCTGTCTCACAGGGCTGTGAGGATGCATTGACCTCGTGCATGGAAAATGCTGGACACATTGGTGGGGCTCACCTGCCAGTGGCAGCTCTCTTCCATCAGCCTTAGTTTGGGGGACCACACTAGGAAGGGGGAACCTCTGCAGGGAATTGAACCACTTGGCTTCTTCCACTCAGCAGCCCCTCCGTGTCCCCACAGGAGAGCACCTGGCCATACCTGTTCGCAGTGATTGTCGTCCCTGCCCTGGCTCAGCTGGTGATCCTGCCCTTTCTGCCTGAGAGCCCACGCTACCTGCTCTTTGAGAAACACGATGAGGCGGGAGCTGTGAAAGGTAGGTGTCCTCTCCCCGCTGCCCTGACAGCTCCGCGGGGCGGGCTGAGACCAGGGCCGATGGGTAGTAGGGAGCAGTGCTCCTCTCTGCCAGGCGCCCGGACGACCAGCCCCTTTGTCTCACCGCCCCTTCCCAATGGCTCTGCTGGGAGTGGCTCAAGTGGGGGACAGTGAGTGTTCTCACAGGGAATCATATGGAGTCTGAGACCGGACCACGCTGAGACACACAAGCCTCGCGTTGTGGAGTCTCTGGGTGACACAGATGCATAAGGACATGGCTACTCACCAAAAGGTCGATGGTTTGAGTCCAGCAAGACACTTTGGAATTAAAAAATAAACACACACCAAACCAACATCAAAAACATACTACCATTGAGTTGACTATGACTCATAGTGACCTTCATGCTTCTAAAGCTATAAATCTATATGGGATGAGATTTCTCCCTCAGACCAGCTGCTGGGTCTGAACCAACAACCTTTGGGTTAGCAGTGTGATGTATTATGCAGTACACCACCAGAGGTCCTTACTAATTGAAAGATTGATAGTTCAAACCCACCAAGAGGACACTTGGAAGAAAGGTTTAGCAGGAACAGCAGTGATTCCTATCAATTATTGATTATATCAATATTCCTAACAATTTTCTTTTTTTT